CCAGGACCCCCTTAACTATCATGGTGGGGCTTAACCATGCTCACAACCTTGGTCTCCTCCCAGCTCTCTGGTGCCGCTTCCTCTGTCTCTGACCTCTACATGTGGTTCCCTCTCCCCTCAGGAGGTGTGTGGTTCCGTGCCTCCTCCTACATCCTGGTGCATCCTGTTGCCCTCGCCCCATGTCCACAACCTCTGGTGCCAAGTGGAGCATCAGGATCAACATCGTCACCCTGACGGTAAAGCAGCAGGTTTGCTGTCCATCACCTTGTCACACTTTCGTCTTGGCTGGGAGCTGTGCAATAGAAGTAGCTGCCTAAGACTAGATCCTCCCCATAGGCACAAGCAGAGGAGCTACTAAAGCCACTGCCTGGTGAGGGGGAGAGCTGGGGCTGAGGCCTGAAATGGGTGTGAAAGAGGCAGCTAGATGTTCTCTTATGTCACCAGAGGGAAGGGGGGCCTGGACTCAGCCAGGAGGCCCGGTGCAGTGGTACCGAGATGGCCAGGGCTTCTCTACATGGCTGTGAGAACAGGGAATTGGTCCTGTGGGCGGTGTGGGGTCCGTGCCCTGTGCAGAATCAGGCCCTCCTCAGGCACTGTGATGCCATTAGCTCCTGCGAGTGCTGGGCAGATGAAGAGGGGGCTGTCGTCAGACCCCAGCCTGAAGAAGGGTCTTAGGGGGCCAGCAAAGGGTGAACGGGGACACGTGTAGATGTGCGATCTGTCCCTCATGTTGTAGAAGGAGACATCTCCAGCTTCATAGTCCAGGAAGACGCCCACCCGGCCGAGGCGCTCTCTCAGAGGGAGAATCCTCTCAGGGGAGCACAGGGCCCGGTATTTGTTTTCAAACATCTCCAGGGTCCAGAAGCCATTCTGAGGAAGCAGCAGGGCCTCCCCTTTCCTCTCAATACTGTCTCTACAAACCCCCACTGTCCACGCCATCACGTTTTCAACTTCTACCTCCCAGTAATGTTTTCCTGAGGCGAAGCTTTCCCGGCCCAGGACACAAGGCTGACAGTCGAATCTCTCAGGGTTGTCAGACACCCTCTGCTGGGAAGGGCCCCGTCTCACACTTCTCCGGTCCTCAGACAGGAAGAGCTCAGGATGAGCGGTGTCTGGGTCCAGGACCACATCAGCTGCAGAGGAAGTCTCAGATTTAGGCCTGGGGTCCAAGGAACCAGGAGATTGTGTGATTCCTGGTCCCTCAGAGAAGGCTGAGAAAGCTAGTGGGGATCCCGCATGTCACGGTCCTTTCCATGAAGGGCCCTTGGTCCCAGGCAGCTCACAGACTGAGAGTTACTGAAGCTGCACTTCTCTCTCCAGTGAAGGAGCAGTGGCCTCAGGTGGAGGAGAATTGGGGCCCTTAGAAACCCAGAAGGTTTAGCAAATGAGCCAAAATTAATGGTTTCCATTTTCTCTCAGCATTCTTAGATCTGCCCCGTATTCTATGGTAGGACAGATGATCTCTGGGTCTCTCTTTAGTTAGAAACTTTACAACTTGGCTGAAACCAGCCAAGAGGCTTCATATCCTGCTCCTGTCAATCACTCATGGATCAATTAAGGCAGTGGTCCCCAACCTTTTTGGCACCAAGGACTGGTTTTATGGAAGACAATTTTTCCACAGACTGGGGATGAGGCGTTGGCTGTGGTGAGTGGGGGATGGTGGTGCGAGACTCATTTTCTAATAGGCCACTTACCAGTGCCAGGCTGTGGCATGGGGTTTGGGGACTGCAGAATTAAAGTGAGTCTCTCACTACACAGTGTCCTGGGTAGTAAAGGCTCTCTTCATCCCTCTCCTGTTCTTTTAACCAGGTGACAATTGATTTTAATGATTGACAAGGACATTCTTCAAAGGGTAAAGGAGCATAAATTTCCTCAAAAGCCAACTGGCTGCCTGAAAGGTGTGTGTTGCAAAAAAACAGAGGAAATATTTACATCCAATTTTTGTTTAACAATTTGGGTCTGAAGTCAACAGCTGTGATCTCTCTGGGTACAGGAAATGCTCCAGACCCTGGACATTCTACAGACCTCTCCCATCTTCATCCTTTATTACTTATTCAGTCTACCTTTCTATTGTATTAAAATGATTTCACTCTTTCTCACTCTTTGCCCTTCCTTTTGCCTGCCCTGCTGCAACAATGGGTCTGGTTGTCATCTGCGGTGTATGTACCATGCTCTGTAAACCTATATCTCGCTCTTGCCCTATAATCCTATCTTTTTCTCCTCAATAAACCTCATTTTCATGCTTGCCTAGAAAAAAAAAATGATTTCATGCTTTCTGCAAATTAATATGCCTGATTGTGACAACTTCTGATTGTGTGACAATTTTGAAAATCACCTAAAAAAGAACAGTCCCTATTCCATGGTATCTGGTAACACTAAATTTTTTAGTGCTTCTGGGCAGCAGGTGACAAATCATAAAATTCAAAGTGCTCATTAGGAGTAGATAAGTGGATTCTGTGTCCTCACACTCACCTGGCCCCCCTACCATGGCAGGCTACATGCAGGTTACAGGTGCTCTCGAAGGAACACAAAGGCATTTCTGGCCACTTATTTGGACACCCTAGCATCAGGCTTGTTGGGGAAACTCATTCCCTTTTCCCCACATAAGTCTTCAACTGTGCACAGTCTACACCATCCTCAGGTTATAAATAGCAAAGACATCATTGTCTTCTTTCAAATTGATCCAGGATCCAAGAGTAACAACTACTGAAATGTAACTCCTGGGGAGGTCTACTATGTATCAGAGACCTCTGGTAATTACAGACTAAATTATTCTAAAAGAGAAAAGATCACAGGAAATAAACTGTAGGGTTGACGAATTGCTGCTGGAATTCCCTGACAGAAGAGCCATGATCCAGCATTGCTGGGACACTGCTGGTGCTCCCAGCTGCCCCCATCAGCCCCCACCCAGCCTTGAGCCCCTTGCTCATCTCTTCTCAAGAGCACTGTTGGCTGCTAGTGGGGAGAAAGCTCTGGATCTCAGGGAACATCACAGGTGCTCACCAGCATGTAAGAGTGTTCTTCTCCATCCTGCAAGGGACAGACAGAGAGCTGAATGTTAGGAGATCAAGGCTAACCAAGCAGAGCAGAAATGGTTCATGGAGTAGTTCAAGAAAGGCTAAACTCACGCAATTCTTCTTGAAGTTGCTCTGAAAAAGAAACAGAAACAGAATAATGTCCTCAACAGAAGAACTAAGAGAAGTTGGGTGTGCATTAAATGATGCAGGACCCAC